ACCAGGCTAATATTTGAAAAGAAAATCCCGCTGTGTTCGGATTCGAACCCAGGACCTTGGTATCCACATGTGTCTAGTCAGAATATGTCCGGCAGTTGTACATGTAAAACTTTAAATAGAAATATTAATTATTGGACTACTATCTTGACCCTTTTCCATAACTGATGGATCATCTCCACATTAATTCTCCGCCCATGAATGGATCTTCTCCACATTATTTCTCCGCCTATGAACTAACTGGTTTTTAAAAATTCAGTTGGTACATTGGTACTTTGGTATTTAAATTATCGTCCTAGTTTATCACGATCTCTTTCGTCGAATTATATCAAACTAACACATACATTGTATGTATAAGAGAACTATTATTGTTAAAGTATAGAACACGTCCATAACAGTTAATGTAGAAATAATTTTCCAGTGAATTAAAACTAATGCTTGTGTTGTATGTATTACATATGTAAGTGTATCGTAAGCATATTAGATAAGTGATTTTTTTTTCTTTTCTACAAACATTGCTTGTTACGTTTATGCTTACTATGTACCAAGTGTCAAGTGAGCAAAATATATCAGATAAATTTACTTCTATCAGTTGAGGTTTTTTTTTTTTTTTAACCAGGGTGAAACATTTATTATTATCCTTATCACAACTCTACTGAGCCGCTTTTACTTCACATTAGGCTCACAGTCGACTCATTCGGTTTAATTCTATTGTACTCTGTGCCCTTGGTGTCCTCCATACAATCCAGTCTAGCACTGTTACTCTTTATCGTTAAACGTTTAATATGTGGCTTCTTTTGGATGCTTTCGCTGCCTAAATCTACTAGTTTTTTTGTTTAGAGCCTGCCTGCTGTGATGAAACTTCTGTTATGTGTGTTTAATGGCTCTCCAACATTCACAGGTGTATGTTAGAATTAAACATACTATAATTGCCAATGCGTTACTTGGTGTTGAAACTGCATTAATTGAGATTTTCCTATTTCTTTGAGCCGTTTAAGATTTGATCCCGCCTCGTAATAATTTATTTATCTGCTTCTCCTTTGGCAATTAAAATTGCTACCTATTGAAGTGCAGTAATGGAACCTTCAGGCGTATTAGGCACATAGGGCAAGCCTATATTGTATAGATCAATCGACACTCGGTGGGTCAACATTCCGCTGGCCGCCTTTACTTCCCAGAACTGTACCTGGTACCCATTTAAGGCGGAATCGACCTGGAAGTCAGTCATTTTTGAAAATGTTCGGCTCCGTCAGGATCTAAACCCGCGTCCTACCGATCCACAGGCGAGCATCTAGCTATTACACCAAGGCAGCTCCGCTACCTATGTAGGTAAAATAATATGTTATATTTATCCTTTTGTCACCTGCATGATAATTTGTGATCCAGTATGAAGCCTTCAATGTAGTTGTTTTTCCACAAGTGATTTAAAGTCGATATTCACACCACATTTGCAAGATTATCTGTCTTGCATTGCCAGCTATTGTTGAATATTGAGTTCAAATACGCGAAAGACGATATCGACATATGAGTATAGGTAGTTGAAAAAAGCAAAATGAAACAACAGAACAAGATTTACGAGACAAAGTGCACAACACACAAGCACGCGCACATAGTCTCGTAAAATATTGAGAAGTTTCTAAATTCGTGGAAAGGGGATGGGGAGAGGGGGGGGGGGGAAGGGGAGGGAGAAATTGTATTTTTCAAATTTGCATTTCTTTGATTAACATCCTCAGGTTAGTTTTAGACGCTGAAGTTACTTCTGTAGTGTTAGTTTAAAATGACAATAGTGGTTATTTAAACGGGTAATAAATGTCTCCTTTTATAGGTGAACAATTTGCAGCATTTGAACCGAAATACTACAAACAAATTCTTAGAATAACATGGACCAAGAAGAAGAAAAAGGGTGTAGCCGTGGCGGAGCGGCTAGACGCTCGCGTGCGGATCGGACGGTCATGAGTTCGCTCCCTGGCGGAGCCAGACTGTTATCAAAAATGACATTGACTCCTCGTTTCGACCCAGCCATGAGTGGGTACCGGGAGCAGTCACAGGAAGTAAAGACATCACCCTTATTGTGCTGAATAATCTATTTAAAAAAAATATAGGTCCAGCCCTATTTGCCTAAACGCCTAAAGGCGCGGAGAAGGGTCTTTTACCTACTTTTTTTTTTTTTAAAACTTACTGGTGGCCTAAAAACAGGCAGTGACTGGTGGTAGAGTTTCCAGAACACGAAGCATGACAGACCTCTGCGAAAGTGTATACAAGATACTAGAGATGTACTGGCTATGCAAGCACACAGGACTAGAGACTCAGATAAAGAGATGTTGTTCAGGGCCGCCGTGACGAGACCGAAGTTCAGTAAACAATCTGCTGATTGATAATAGAAGTAATGTCTAGAGGCAAGAAATCATTCAACAGCAGGATCGACTGCTCTGAGGACATTCATATGCAACTGACAATATGAAATCGCAATTACCTTTATCAATGGTTGTCTCCAGTGCAGGCTAATGCAGGCAGTGTTTTTGAGGAGGGAGATTGTCAGTATGGGTGCAGCAATAGAAACCTGTGGCTGTGTCCGTCCTTCTGGCCTTGTGACTTGTGTTTGCCTGTCAGTACCAAGTTTGCGTTAGACTATCTAGTCCTTTTTCAAAAATAACGTTAAAGTATTCAATATTTTGGACTGAAGCTTCAAAAAAATACTTTGAAAACTAAATGGAGTTTTGAGAGACTAGGACAGTAAGAAAACTACTTAACAATTGGATGTAGTTTAGTGCAACAAAGCCTGGCACGTGACACCACACTATCTGGTCTGAGAATGGAGGTAAGAAACAACTGTACATACACGACTTAACTGCAAAGGACAGAAACAATTTTTAGAAAGGGGGAGACCGGTGTGCTCTGTGAAGCATCGCATAAGAGGTTTCTGGTAGTTAGCGTTCTTTTGATATTTTCCTAGGATATGCTTTTGTATTAGAAAATGAACAGGCAGTTAGACTGGCTCGTTCTGCACAACTTGGTGGTAAACTGATGCATGATAAGGTAGATCTTGTAATGACCTATTGGGGCAAGGGAACAATATGGAAGCACAGACGGATCATCACGGTCTGAAGAGAATGGCACTGCGATGAATGACCAGGGGTTCTGGTCGACCATCAGCACTTCTGGGAAAGGTGAGACGGGTATACATACAATCTGACTGCTATTGGTACTACTGGAATTATAGCTCTCCGCTTGCTGCTGAAAATGGGACAGAGCGCTTATGTGAATGTTCCGAGTGCTGTGATGTCGATACTTACTTAAACATTAAATATTCAGGCAATCATTGGACTTTACATACATACAAATTGTTGCTAACTACAGATAACACAAAAATAACACATGTTTGACAGCACACAGTATGATTGTATTGATGAAATTAAATTGTTTTTATTTCAGGTCAAAGAATGTTTTTAGACACAACATGGAAAATTGTCACACTGGGTCTTATCTTAACAATCTGTCGTAGTGACAGTAAAAACGTGGTACTGTTACCAGTGGCGGCCACAAGTCATGCCAGACTTCACGCTATTGTTGGAGTCGAACTAGCAAAGATGGGCCATCAGGTTTGGGTAGGTTTCCCTTCTGCTCTACTGAAAAGAAACGAGAGTTTCCCAGGAGTGACCATTTTCAGCTACAATGATTTCTGGGAACTCACTGAAGAAAAAATTATTTCAGATTTAGAGGAAACGATTTGTACAGCTATTGAAACTGGCACTGAACCAGATTGGAAGTGGATGTATGATTACGTTCACATTATTGCAAAAATGTACTTTGATGCAATGACAATAGGAAACTTCGCAAATTACGTGGAAAGTTTACACCCTGATCTCATTGTCCTCGATGGATATCCAAATGTGGATGAGAGAGTTGCGCTGTCGTACAAACTGAAAATTCCCTTTGCTGTTCTTACCACCTTGTACGATCCTGTTACATTGAAGGTGCCAATCAACCCAGTTGCCCAAGCTTACAACTCTGCATACTTTCGTTCTAAAGCCAGTTTGTTGGAGACAATGCTGGCTGTAACTAGCATTATAGCGCCTATGTTTCTTCATAGATTTAATGACAAGGGGTATATGAAGCAAATGTTTCCTAATGATCCTAATGTTCCTGCTGCCAACGAACTTATGAGTCAGGCTGAAGTTTATATTATTCAATCTGATCCAATCAATGACTACCCAATACCAGCTGTTCCTAATATGAAAATGATCGGTGGTGTTTCTGTCAGTCCATCCAAGCCGTTACAGGAACCTTTCAAATCATTCGTGGAGAAGTCTGAGAAAGCTGGAGTTGGTGTGGCTGTGTTATCGTTTGGTAGCCTCGTTATGAACCTGCCCAAAATAGCGGAAAGAAAGATTATTTCAGCGCTAAGTCGTCTTTCAGTAAACACAATTTGGAGAGCCAATATCACATCTCCAGACCCAGACAAGATTCTGACGTCTACCTGGTTACCTGTGAACGATCTTCTAGGACACAAAAACGTCAAAGTGTTTATATCTCACTCAGGAGCTAACAGTCTTTACGAGGCTCTCTATCATGCAGTTCCCACCGTCTGTGTGCCTCTGTTCTATGATCAGTACGTTAATGCAGAACGAGCGGAGGATAAAGGTTTCTGTGTCAACCTGGATATAGTCAAGGTTACGGCAGACGAGCTGTTTACAGCAATAGAACACGTTGTGTCTAGCAAAGAAATAAAGTCCACAGTTAGCAAGGCATCAGAAATATACCGGGAATTATACAAGAACCCCAGACAAGACGCAGCTTTTTGGTTGGACCACGTATTGCGCTATGGCGGAGAATATATGAGATACAGCGGACAGAAATTACCTATGATACTCTTCATTATGGACTACATACTGGTCTTCATGGTCGGCTTAACGACCGGTCTGGGAGTTTTACTGTTAGGTTATATCAGTAAACTGATATTCTCTGCCTACTTTAGACGAGAAGTGCACTTGAAATCTGATTAGCTATACAGGAGAACCGTTTAAACTTTTTATAAGCTGTTTTTATTTGCCAGATTTTAGGAGATTCGTTTAGTAATTTCTAAAATTATTTTGATTGTAAAACATGGCAACTTTTTTTTTACTGCCTTAAAAGGCGGTTGGCATGATGTGTTATTGTTTACAGCTAGGCTCCGATATCTGAGCTTGTCGATTTCCGTACACCGCTAACTAGTCACTGTTCACGACATATTTGTTAGCAGTCTATTTTTCTCCAAAAACTGGGCTCCAAAACTCATACGGAAAACATTTAATCCAAGTTGACTTGACTTGACTTTCTACCCCAGTAGGACATCACACAAGCGATAAACACCCGATGACACAAAGTGCCACCATGTGGATGAGGATCACCGTGGAGAGGTCCCAGAAACCGCGTTCATACAATTGGCCATATTTATGGCCTGCCTATATTGCGGCCTCTGGCAAAAGCCAGAGTGGGGCTTCAAATAACAAAAAATTACGTCCTAAAAAGGACGTAAGGAATAGAACTGTTACTAGATATAATAACGCACTAACAAATGAATTTAATCCAAGTTAGTGAACTACCAGAGTTTTGGATGAGCAGTTAGTCCATTCATGGGACACATACTTGAAGTTTTTGTAAACATTAGAAAGGGTGAATAATAAAAGAACATACACATCAAATAGATGACTGCACGACAGCTGGTGTCAACAGTTGTAAAAGACAGAATATTATCTTATATTCGTCGAATTTGGAGGCAACTTTAAAAAAAAAAAGAATCGCCAAATAGATACAAAAGAGGAAACAATCAACTGAGGAATTAAAAGCGTCTGAGATATTTCCTAATATAGTCGTTGATGGTTAGTTGCGTATCCTTTACAGGACGTTGCAGAACCAACCGCAACAGCCCCTGGCTGTTGTGTGGTATTTATAGACAATTTACGTCCACTAGTTTTGCCATTGCTCCTGGACGGTCGGCTTTCTTGATACCACTGTCGAAATCAAAGCAAGGTGCATGGCGCTCAGCTAAGATCGAACCCAGCATCCTGGCATTACGAAGCGTTCGCATGGACTTAGCCACAGAGGCGACTAGTCGTTGATGAGGAAGACCATTAGCGCGGGGCTATTCTATTGCTGAAATCATCTCTATTAATCACGAATTCAGTAACTACAATAGGAAATATACCCCATACTCATATTCTGTTAGCCAACTGTCATCAGCTTTATCTGAGGTTGTTTATTTGTTCCATTAAGATTCAGACTAAGCAGACTTTAACTTGTTTAAGGATGTTCTCTGTGTATAAGCAGAATATCGTCAATTATCTCTTCGTATGTATTTGTGTTAACACCTGTGTTAACTATACATTTGACGTCTAATAAGATACCCATCGTATCTCACATCTGAAAGACGTGTAGATAGCTGCTGGTGTTGTTTGATGTCAAAAGCTTTTTTGTAGTCTATAAAACATACAAAACTTTGCTGTAAATTTCATTAACAGTTACATTTTTTAAAAGATCATATATTTTAGCCTTGATGTGGCGCCGTAGTTTACCGATGAATGTTATATCATGTACTTTTTGTTCTTCTCTTTTCTTCACAGAAGAGTTTTTCTTCTCTTTCTCAATCTACCTCATTTTATTATCGCCGAGGAGTTATCTGTGTGCTTTATTTAATGAGTCATACAAGTTCATCCTCGTTTGTGTAAGGTTTTTCTTGATGCCGTTGTTCTATAGTTCGCATGGTCTTCCCTATCGTCTGTCTTCGTTGTATTTCTTCGGCTTAGCTGCCTGTGGCAGTTGGTACAACGGTATTCTCATCAGATGGCTAAACTTATCTCATCTGTTGCTCTTGTTAAAGTTCATGCTGTGTGGTATTGGTAGTCATGTCTATCCAGAACTGTCTGTCTCGTGTACTTTCAATCACAGATGATCTTCCATGTTATAATGTCAAACTGCCCAGCATCTGTTGTCTCGGCCTTCCTTTGCCTTTCTTCCTCTCAAACCTTCCTACATTCACGATGTACTCTAGTTTTCTCCTTCTCATCACATGATCAAAGAATGTAGTTTGTCTCTTTTTGATGCGGACATTTAGTTCTCTTCGTGAATCAGTTTCTTCGTTACTCTTTTTACCCGTCCAGGGTATTCTTAACATTTGTTTAGAAAACCACATCTCCGCAGCTTCCAAATATGTTCTTACTAATTTAGTAACTGTCCATGATTCACATCCATATATTAAAAAAGGATTTTTATAACTTTTAAGAACATCCCTTCTCGTCTTAATTGACAAAGAAAGATTGCATAACATATTTTTTATATTTTTAAAAGCTGCTTTTGCTTGAGCTTTTCGACATTTAACTTCTTTAATGCATATTCGCATAAATAATATCAGGGTACCCAAGTACTTAAACATATTAACTTGCTTAAGGTTTGTCCCATTTACTTTGATTTTGCATTTTGGAGGATCGGTTTTCTTTGTAATTACCATTTTTCTGCTGTTCAAACTAAAACCCCTGTTTTCATTTTCCCTTACATCATTTCTTTCATTTGTTCTTCATTTTCAGGGATCAACACTATATCGTCAGCATATCGCATATTGTTAACACTATGCCCACTAACCGTTATTCAAGGCATACCATGTATGGATCTAACTATCTTCAGTCCTAGTTTTCTATTTATTTTTGTTAAATATGTCTTTGCTTACTCTGACAGTTCTTCTAAGATATTTCTGTTATGATTATATGCCTAATAGTTGTGGTTAGGGTCCTTGTCTGATATTAGCAAATTAGAGATGGCCAATATAAAAATCTCGTTTGATAAAGGCAGTTTCTTTTGAGGGTGGCTCCATTTGTGCTTTCGTTGTAAAGAATTACTTACTTGCTGCACCTTTTCTTACTGAGACTTTAGTGTACGCCTGATTAGATGCAGGAAATTTGCCAGGGAAAAGTATTTTTCTATGAATGTAAGTTATCTCAGTATCTGATTTGCTTTTGCAAATTGTATGACGATTTTTCTGTCCATTCTTCCTTTTGAAGTGAGAAATACTGGATTTGGATATTTTAAACTCGTGTTTTTGTTTGATCTCTGTATTATTTATTTTATGTACTCTGGATCTTACTATATTTAATACAGGTTAACATTGCAACATCAGAAATGTTGATGTGTGCAATCGAAAATGTGTTGAAACCATGTAGTAAGAGTTCACATTTTAAATGGGTATATTGTTGCTGTGAATTATTGCTTGTAAAAGTAAGCCACGTAATTATAAGGTCAAGTTCAAGAACTGCCTCTCTACATAACTGTTAGATCAAGTTCACGAACTGCCTCTCTACATAACTGTTAGATCAAGTTCAAGAACTGCCTCTCTACATAACTGTTAGATCAAGTTCAAGAACTGCCTCTCTACATAACTGTTAGATCAAGTTCACGAACTGCCACTCTACATAACTGTTAGATCAAGTTCACGAACTGCCACTCTACATAACTGTTAGATCAAGTTCAAGAACTGCCTCTCTACATAACTGTTAGATCAAGTTCACGAACTGCCACTCTACATAACTGTTAGATCAAGTTCAAGAACTGCCTCTCTACATAACTGTAAGATCAAGTTCAAGAACTGCCCCTATACATAACTGTTAGATCAAGTTCAAGAACTGCCCCTATACATAACTGTTAGATCAAGTTTAAGAACTGCCTCTCTACATAACTGTAAGATCAAGTTCAAGAACTGCCCCTATACATAACTGTAAGATCAAGTTCAAGAACTTCCCCTATACATAAGTGTTAGATCAAGTTCAAGAACTGCCCCTATACATAACTGTAAGATCAAGTTCAAGAACCGCCCCTATACATAACTGTAAGATCAAGTTCAAGAACTGACACCCTACATAACTGTTAGATCAAGCTCAAAAACTGACACTCTACATAACTGTTAGATCAAGTTCAAAAACTGCCCCTCTACATAACTGTTAGATCAAGTTCAAGAACTGCCTCTCTACATAACTGTTAGATCAAGTTCAAGAACTGCCTCTCTACATAACTGTTAGATCAAGTTCAAGAACTGCCACTCTACATAACTGTTAGATCAAGTTCAAGAACTGCCTCTCTACATAACTGTTAGATCAAGTTCAAGAACTGCCTCTCTACATAACTGTTAGATCAAGTTCAAGAACTGCCACTCTACATAACTGTTAGATCAAGTTCAAGAACTGCCTCTCTACATAACTGTTAGATCAAGTTCAAGAACTGCCACTCTACATAACTGTTAGATCAAGTTCAAGAACTGCCACTCTACATAACTGTTAGATCAAGTTCAAGAACTGCCTCTCTACATAACTGTTAGATCAAGTTCAAGAACTGCCTCTCTACATAACTGTTAGATCAAGTTCAAGAACTGCCCCTCTACATAACTGTTAGATCAAGTTCAAGAACTGCCTCTCTACATAACTGTTAGATCAAGTTCAAAAACTGCCCCTCTACATAACTGTTAGATCAAGTTCAAGAACTGCCCCTCTACATAACTGTTAGATCAAGTTCAAGAACTGCCTCTCTACATAACTGTTAGATCAAGTTCAAGAACTGCCTCTCTACATAACTGTTAGATCAAGTTCAAGAACTGCCTCTCTACATAACTGTTAGATTAAGTTCAAGAACTGCCTCTCTACATAACTGTTAGATGAAGTTCAAAAACCGCCGCTCTCCATAACTTCAAAATCAAGTTCAAGAATCACCGTCTACATAACTTCAAGATCAAGTTCAATAACAACCTCTCTACATAACGCGCCAAAGTATAGACAAGAAGGACGCAACCATGTCCAAACATTATTATAGCAAACTTATGTCCCTTGATTGATCAAACTATGGTGACCTAATTATTCTTGCTTCTGTTGGAATGAGCATATACACACGCACACGCACACACACACACACACACACACACGCCCACACACACAGACACACGCTCGCTCGCGCGCGCGCACAAACACACACACGCGCGCAGTTGAATACG